CCGAGGGGCTGTATATGAGTGATGTTTTGCCCGAGGGGCTGTTTATGATTTCATCATTTTTGCTCACCTTTGCATTGAGCCTTTGTTTGAAAAACTGTTGGAAAAATATCTTTAAATGATTTTTACTGGAACTGGGTTTAAACGAGATGTTTGAATCAAATCCTGATTTTTTTAAGAGCATGTGGTATTTTACTGAGATTTCCTGATATGAACGTTATATGCTTTGTTGTTCATCACTACTGCTCAGTCTTTATTTATTGTTGTTATTTACTGAGTTGGCGTACTCACATTACTCCCTGCACCTTGTGTGTAGATCCAGGTGTAGCTGGACACGGTAGCGGTTATTGAGTGTCCTGGTTGCAGATTTTCTTGGAGATAGCAAGGTAGCTGTTTGGCGATCGCAGCCCCTACTCTTCTCCCTCTTATCTTCCTCTAGTTGTATTTAGCTATTTTTCGGGTTGAGTTAGCCTTGATATTGTTAGACAGATTGTAGTATATGCTCATGACTAGTGACACCCCAATGTCGAGCTTTTCTTTTTCGCACTTCTATTTTTCTTTGATTTGAACTCTTTAAATGGAGGTTTTATGTTACATAACCTTGAAATTATTTTTGAAATGAAAATTTAATTTTTTTTGAAAATGAGTCGGCTTGCCTAGTTCCATAATAGGCGCCATCACGACAGAGGTTAGTTTGGGTCGTGACAGATGTCCAAATTGCTTCCACCATTCAACTATAGAAAAATATTTTAAAAGTTAATAAGTATAAATCAAATAAATTAATTTAAAGTTATAAGGATATCTATATTAAAGTTAGTTACCTGGCGACCTTATGTCTCTGGCTCTAATGGCCGCTTGTAAACCAAATAGGCCCTCTGCTTGTGAGTACCTACCAAACTCCTCCCATATTTGATCTATCGTCGCTGAATTAGGGACCAATTTCTCAAGACATGCATGGTATCCAATCCACACCTCTGAAGCTAAAGTTTCATCTACAGTGTTCTTGTAAAATAATCCCAGGTTAAGAAGATGGCCTGTTGCATACAAAGGTCGATGGAGTTGATTCTCCCACCTGGTATCAATTATCTCAAAAACTTTCTCATATTTCCTAATATCTCCTTCAAATGATGCTGCAATAGTCTCTTTGGCTCTATCCATAGCTTCATAAAGATAGCCCATTGGTGATTTTCTCTCTCCATCCACCATACGAAGTACGCTAATCAAAGGACTACCAACTTTAAGAGCCCGAACGACGTCATTCCAGAATGATGGAGAAATGAGAACTTTGGCAGTTTTTTTCCCCGCAGCTTCCTTTGCATATCTATTATCTTTCCATTCATTTGAAAGAACTAGCTTTCTCAAGTTTTTCTTTTACAAGTAAAAACTATGCAAAGTTAAGAAAGTCGTTGCAAATCTAGTCTTGGCCGGTCTCACCAAATTTCTTTCATTTGTAAATTTCCTTATCAAATTCAACAACGGCCTCTGACTGATGTAAGAATATACCCTGACGGCCTTAGTGAAAACTGTAAAAGTAACAATAACAATTTTATAGTTAATACTTAATAGGATAGGACATAAGTATAAATAAAGTTAAGGGCTTTAAAGATAACTATATTAATGTTACCTGAAGCATATGGGTTTTCCTTGAATAAGTCACCAAACATCAAGTTGATACAATGGGCAGCACATGGAGTCCAATAAATATGTGGATACATAGCTTCCATCATCCTACCCGCACTAACATTCTCACTAGCATTATCTGTAACAATTTGTATAATATTTTGCTTTCCAATTTTATCAATAGTCTTTCTAAACAAGTTGTATATTTTGATTCCATCCGTAGAAGAGTTGCTAGCATCGTGAGATTCAAGAAAAACACTCCCTCTTGGAGAGTTCACCAACACATTTATGATCATTTTTTCATTCCGTACTATCCATTTATCCATTATAATGGAACATCCAAACTTGTTCCATTCCACTTTATGCTCCTCAATAATTTGGTCTATCTTCTTCACCTCTTTTTTAAGATGAGTTACTCTAACTTCATGATAGCTAGGAGGCTTCATTCCTGGGCTATATTGTCCTACGACCTCAATGAATTTATCAAAAGTTTTATAGTTAACACAGTTGAAAGGAAGCCCTGTATCATACTCCATGCTTCAAAGGCACTTACAGCGCGGTCCCTCAAAATCTTCTTGGCTTCTATACCTGGACCTTCTTCACCTTTTTCCTTTTCTTGTTGTTTTGCCGAGAAATAAAGATTGAGAGGACCTTTTGTCACTGTACGTGGCATCGTGGATGACCCACTAGAACTATTTGAAGATATCTTATGAGTTTTTTTTTTNATTGCTTGTGACGAGTTATCCCACCATGATATATTTTTTTCACAAAACACACATTTAATTGTGGATCTTGATGAGCCTTGTATAGCATAATTCCAAGCTATATCATTTCGTTTATTACTATCGGATGACGCCATTTCAACGCTGTTTTATGAAAAAAAAATTATCAAGTCAATATGCAATTAATTCTACTCTATAAGACTATAAATCTATAATTGAAAAAACAGAGCAACAAATAAATAAAGTTACTGCCTCTGCTCGATTTTGAAAAACATAGCAAAAAAATAAAAATAAAGCTACTGCTTGACTGCCTCTGCTCGATTTTGAAAAACATAGCAAAAAAATAAAAATAAAGCTACTGCTTGACTGCCTCTGCTCGATTTTGAAAAACAGAGCAAAGCTACTGCCTGACTGCCTCTGCTCAATTTTGAAAAACAGAGCAACAAAAAAAAATACAGCTACTGCCTCTGTTCGATTTTGAAAAACAGAGCAACAAATTGAAAAATAAGAGCTGAAAGAGATGATGGAAGAAACAGAGCAAAGAACCCAAAAACAGAGCAAAGAAAGAAAGAAAGAAGAAAAACAAAGCAAAGAAAGAAGAAGAAGAAGAAGAAAGGCAATATACATAAACGGCCCCTTTAAGTTGTCCCTAACGATCAGACAGACACCTCACCTGATCCCTTTTTCATTTTAACATTTCAAGTGGTTATTAAATGTATCTCATGAACACCCGAGTCTGGCAGACTATATGTGTGAGTTACACTCGCCAGTGACATGTCAAATGAACCAATTAAAGAATGACATGTGTAAATTATAATAAATTTTTTGATAAATATAAAGTAAATACATTAAAAAAATCCTTTTTAGTAGTATTAACCAACTCCCCTCCCCCTCCCCCCCTTCTCCTCATCTTCTTCCTTCACACTCTCCCTCTCACCTCCTCCCCCCAAATAACCCCTCACACTGATTTTCTAGCACCATCCAAGAAATTGGATGACACATACCCACATTTAAAAAGATCAAATAAGAGAACCATTTGAGGTCTTCTTCTTCTCTAAGAAAACAGAGCAAGACCCAAAAGAAAAAGCAGCACCGCAAATCTATCTCATGAAAAAAATGCCATAGCCTTTAGAGCACCCATCTCTCTATTTATTCTTTTTCCTATTTTCATTTTTAGAACTCCACCATAACACCATAAAATACAACACTAAAATTAATCACCGTCCATTTTTTCCGGCAAACAAATCATGAAGACCCAGCAGCTTTAACCATGGGTAAATATTGCCAAAAATAAGATTGAAATTTTATGGGTATCAATGATATTGTTATGGCGAGGTTGCTACCATTGATTATTTTTCAATACTGAAGGAGAGGAGGCAGACTAATGGGGGAAGGTCATGGGTAAAAATTACCGGAAATGGGATTGTTTTTTCCGGGTGCTCAGTGATATTGTTATAGTATGGTGGCTGTTATTGATTATTTTTTTTCAAGATTGAAGGAGAGAAGGTGGATAAATGGTGGAAGATGGAGGTGCTACTGATGTTGCTATATTTAGGTTAGGAAAGTTTTTGGCAGCTGAGATGAATTAGTTTGGAAAGAAAGTGAAATTAATGTGGGAAAAATTTAAAATATAGTGGGATCCACAAATAAATTATGGTATATTCAAATAAAATAAGGTTAAAATTTAAAAAAGGAAAAGAAAAAAACTTTATTTTGAGGATTTCACGCGCTCATATGTGAATGCAAAATACACATTTTGCCATGTCAGCGTGAGGGATTTACGAGGTCGCACTTTAGTCAAGAAAAAGTGTCTAATTGATAATCGTGTCAGTTGAGGTGTCTGTCTGATCGTTAGGGACAACTTAAAGGGGCCGTTTATGTATTTCACCAAGAAGAAAAACAGAGCTGAAAAAGATGATGGAAGAAAGAAAAATAGAGCTGGGCTGAAAGAGAAGAAAAACAGAGCTGAAAGAAGAAGAAAAATAGCAATAACTGAAGAAAGAAGAAAGAAAAAGAAAAAGAAAAAGGAAAAAGAAGACCAGCAATGACGATCGACCAGAAGAAGAAGAAAGTAGAAGAAGAAGAAAAGAAAATAAAGAAACATACCTGGTGAAGAAGGGGCCGCTGATGGCTGGCGATGGAAGAAGAAGAAGATGTGAACCCAAGCCCTAATTTTGTCGCTGAAGGAGAACTAGAGAAGAAGGGCCACTGCCCGTAAGAATCGCTGCTCGTAAGAAGTGATTTCACCCAAGCCCTAATCGCGACTTAAGTGCCTTTTTTTTAAAAAAAATAGCGACGCTACGCTCGCTTCTCGCCACACTGTCGCCTCTCGCTACACAAACAGAGGCGACCGCTATTTTGAATCGCAACGCAACAGACCCTCTGTAGCGATACACACTCGCCTCGCGTCGCTACACGCTTTTAGTGCTGTAGCGAGCGCTATTTATAACACTGGCCCCACCTTAGGCTATCGGCTGTCTGCTCATTTACTGTGCAACTCTCTAGTCTTGCAAGTAGGTCCTCAAGCTCTCAATCATGTCCATATTTTCTGAAGTGTAGGTTTCAGGTGCTACCTTCTCTACTATGTGAAATGGTAGAATATGAGCACATGAAACCTGGAAAAGGTTTGGAAAGTCATTCTTTAGAGTTGACTTATCCAGCCATTTGCCTTTTCAAATATTGATGTGTAATCCATTGCCTACTGAAAGAAATGTTCTGAAAAAACTCGTCCCAAAGTTTTTGTATTCTCTTCCAAAGACCACAGCATGAGGGGCCCTTGATAGCATGGTGCACCATTGACTTTGAACTCCATGCTTTGCCGTTACTATCTTTTCCCAAAGGTTAGATTCCTCCAGGCCATACTCCGTAGCCATTTTATTAACATATATTTGCTTTGAGCAGCAAGATCTCTAATACCAAACCACCTTGAGACTTAGGCTGTGACTTTTGACCACTTTACCAAGTAGCACTTGTGCTTCTTACTGTTACTTTCAACAGGAAGGTTCTTCTTATTTTGTCCCGTTGCTTTTGTACCTTACTTGGGATGGAAAAGAGTGACATGTAGTAGGTAGCAATTATATCCAACATGTTGTTGATTGAATGTAAGTCTGCCTCCCTTTGAAAGATGTAGCATCTTCAAGTAGCATGGCTTTTTTGGAACTTCTTAATTACACCATTACAGATTTCTGTTGATCTGAATTTAGCACCAACTTTTTGTCCTACATAAGTTGTTAGAAAAGAATCGGCGTTGCAGTATAAGTTTTCTGCCAAAACTTCCCGATGAGGAACATCATTGACTGGGTAGATAGTAGTTTTGAGCACAAAGCGTTAAAAATGAGGAGGGTAAGATTAAGATACAATAACTTACTCACTTGGGACCCTTTGCTCCACAAAAATTTGCGTGGAAAAATCCATAATCATCTTCAAGATGTTGCAGTGACTTCTGTTATATGTTGTGAAGGGGATCGATGGACAATGTCTCTTAATATCGGAAAAGGAAGAGACTTAATAGGGGATAAAAAAATTTATTGAAGACAATAGCCTGGAGGAGAGAGATGATCTTGTATTTGAACTTCTTAAAAGTTCAAATAAGAGTGTCATGTTCAAGGTTCAAATTCTTAGAGGTGACTTCCGAGAGGAATTATTGAAGCAAAATGAAGAGCTTATTTGAAACAAAATCTAAATATTTTGGAGTTAAGTATTAACTTTAAAAGGTGTAGTTGTTGAACTTTAACACATTCATCCATGGGGATTAATTTTCGAGTGTTGTTAAATGTCTACTACACATTTTTGAATCAACGTGTCTATTTAAAACCACCCCTTTCAATTCATTCATAACATTTCACCATCGCTTGCCATTAGCTGTCACTTCAAATAAATTATCACCCTTACACCTCTTTTTTTTTCCTCTCTATAAAACGTACCGCACCTCTCACCATCCCCTTAATGTTGTCAAAGGCTCATTTAAGACGATTTTAAGCCCTGAAGCTCTGAAAAGCTTAGGGAGTGTGCTTCGCCTCGCTTAAATTCTAGTGTAGGCAAGGCACTAAGGTGTATACACTCATTGCCCATGAGTTCTTTTTGAATCAAGCATTACTAAACAACAAATATAAGTGCTTAAAGCCCAATAGACCTGGAGTGCTTTTTAGAGCTTTTCGCCTTTTGACAACAATGCTTATATTCACCTCTTTCATATACTAAATTCCCTTTCAAAAAAGAACAATGCCACCAAGCAGAGATATTAATGCCTCCTTTGATGAGATAGACCAACAACTCCACACTATTCGGCTGATGGTGGATGAAACCATGGACCATATTCCTGAACAGTAAAACAAGAAGGATCAAGAGTTGCAATGTCAT